GCATCCCTCAATGTCTTTATGTTGTCAAACTCCATGCCTGTAGGTTTAAACTAAAGCCTAGTTCTATTTGGATTTACACAATTTAGTTTTAAATGATATGAAAATCCAACAACCAAAGGATGCTTTCATCGTACCTAATTGAAAGTTTGAATTTTGAATGTCAGTGAAAGGATTAAATCAAGTCTCATTCCTCGCTTTTGAAGAGCCAACAACTTCTTCAGTATCACTTGGAATGCTTCTAAGATCATCTGACTCATCATAGTTTGTTCCATTACCATTTACATACCCTGCTATGCCCTCATGTTCGATCCTCAGATTTTTATCACCAATATCAAGACCCTCAGACAACTTGAAGAATATATCTTCAAATGATCATCTAAAGACATATCTTCCTCCTGCTCAAAATATAAATCATTAAATTCCCCCATTAGGCCTTCATCGTATTCAAATTTCCTATTTCCTTCTCTATTATCAGTATGGTCCTCATTTTCATCAACCAGAGATGCATCATTAGGTGATGCATTGCAGGGGCTTCATCAACAGGGTATGCATCAGTATGGATGTAAATTTAATTTGCAACCGGTGCCTTATATTGTACTTCAATTGGTAACTAATTTTGATATAAAGCAGGTGATTCATTGTGATCTACAGTGGTATCTCTTCATTGTGATCTGCAACAGGTTTCTCTTTATTGTGATCTACAACAAGTGCCTCTTTATTGTGATCTACAGCAGGTGCCTCAGTATAGTTATGCAGGTCCACTACTGATTCGTCACTTATAAGTTGATCAACCATTTGATCCTCATTTGTGTCTGCTTCTATATGAACTTCACTCCTTCGAGGGTTACCCATATTGCCATCACCAGTAGGTTCATGATCTTCATCTGTATGTAAATAACTCACTTCACCCATAGAAACATCAATGAAACTCCATATATCTAATTCTATTTCATTAGTTGCACCATTATTTCTAGCCTCAACAACATACAAGTCATCGTCCTCTAGAAATTCATCATAAACCTCCACTGCATAGCATATACTATGCTCAAACTATTTGTGAAAATTTACTTTCCCTTCTTCTTCCATCTCTTCAAATGCCTTACCAGTGTCAACAATAACTACTGAAATATCATGCCCTGCTTTTTCGTCCAATGACAATTCCAACACTTCAACCATGGACACACACCACATCTCGGCAATCCTAACAACATTCATAAAGTCTACATCTTTCACTAACCAGAACGATGCCTTACTTAATCTCTTCTTTTCAATCTTATAAACATACCTCACTTTTTCAAAATAACCTAATATCTTCATAGCATTATCCAGGAGAAATTAATTAAAACAATCGTCATGCACATAGTCTAGATAGGCTATCTTCTCATGTTTGTAGACTAAATTTCGCATCTCTGTGAGTAATATATAGCTGTAATGTAGCTTTATGATAAAATAACTTAGATTTTCATTTGGACAAAAAAGCATAACAAACTGCCATCAACACCAAATCCTAGTTCAATGAAAGGAATGCAAAAGCAACATGAATAAATATTGCAAGTTTTGCCATTCCAACTCAATAACATGCTTAAAACTATGCAAATATGTACTAAGTGATGACACTTTGCAACCAACTTTATGAGGAAAACATGTCTACAAGCATCAATTTTTTTTTTTTTTTTAAAAATGAAAAACTTACGGTATATAGGTTTGGGATGATGACTTCATATGTGACATACAATATCCTTTGGAATTTCATCAGATTGTTGATTATTTTTGATCGACTTTGTAGAAGATGAATGTTCGGGTACTTACCGTGAAATCGAATGGAGATGAAGTGACTAAACTGACCAAATGATTAGAAAGAGAATTTAGAATTGGATGAAAGTGCCCCTGTTTAAATTGGTCAAAATTTGTATTTTTTCCATTTTCAAAGTCAATTGAAGGCGAAACTAAAAATTTCCATCATTTTGGACTACATCTGTGAATTTCTCAAAGGCTTGGCGACCTATGGTGGCACAAACTGAAGGTTGTTGCAAATTTTATGTCATTCCAACTTAATAACATGCTTAAAATGATAGAAATATGTATTACATAATCACACTAGGCAACGCACTGTGAGGAAAACATGTCTACAACCAGAAATTTTGAAAGAAACGAAATACTTACAATATACACGTTCGGGAAGAAGACCTCGTATATGACATTCAATATTCTCTGGAATTTCATCAGATTGTTGTCTATTTTCGATCGACGTTGTAGAAGATAAATGTTTGGGTTCGCATCGTGAAAGAGAATGGAGATGGAGTGATATTATAACTAACCAAATGATTTTTAAGAGGGAAAAATAGAATTGGGCGAAAATGCCCCTGTCTAATTTGGTCAAAATTTGTCTTTTTCCATTTTTGAGGTCAACTGACGGTGGAACTAAAGTTTGCCGTCATTTTGGATTGCATTTGTGAATTTCTCAAAGTTTTGAGACCTATGATGGCACAAACTAAATGTTAAGATAAAGTTTACAAAAAAGCAAATATTTGAGACTAGGCTACAATTTTCCCCAAATTTAAACATATTATCTTTAGGGTTAATTTCACCCATGGACATTATACTTTGTATCAAGTGTCAATATGTCACTAAACTTCAATTTGTTTTACCATGATCATCAAATTTTTTATTTAACATGATCATGGTCAACAACTTTAATTTTTTTTTCGTATAAAATTTGGATAATTAGCACTAGAGACCTCTAGCTTTTGAGCCTTCTGACGATGAGTTTCAAAACTTTGACTTTTAGCTCTCGAAATTCCCAAGCTTTCAAATGGCATTAATAATTTTGTAACGACATGTTAATTTGACTCTTAAAAGGTCAAATTTTAATTAAAACGATCAATGTACCCTTATTTTAATTCAGAATAAACCAATAGAAGTGATGTGAATTAAAACAAAATCATAATATTAAAAAATAAAGAATAAAAAGTGAAAAATAAAAACGAAAAGAAAAAATGAGGCCAACCCACATACTTCCTCTCTTTTCCCAAACCAAATTCACCTACCCCATCTACCAAACATGATGTCACAAGTGTCGCTACTACCACTATCATTAATTCAAATATTAAATGGTCGATAGCAGATAAAACTGGAAAATTAATTCATTAGAAAACTTGTCTGTTTCAATAAATGCTATAAAGTTTTTGTCCTTTGACTAGTAATGGCAAAAAAAACCCGTCCCGCCCCGAATAGGCAAAAAAACCCCGCTCCGATGGGTTGATAGGGTGGGGAGGGGCAGGATGGGGCCCCCCGTCGCGGGGCGGGGTGCGGGTGCCCCACCCTAACCCCACCCCTTCAAATTATTATTATTATTTTTTTTTTACATTTTAAAATTTCAAGTTATATTATTATTAGATAATAAAATACAAAATGTAAAATTTTAATTAATTATAAAAGAAATCAAATTTAGTCAAAACGTAATTTTATTTGAAATTGTTTAATTTTTAACATTGTTTATTTCAAGTGTTTACTCTGAATTCTAAAATTTTGAATTTATATTTTATTTTCTAATAACAATATAATTTGAAATTAAAAAAAATTAAACGGGGCGACAAAAATTAAACCCGCTCCACTGCCATCCCTACCTTCGACAATCTTTTCTTCTTCCTTTTCTTCTTTGTTTCTTTATTCAAATCAAACTAAGGGTACAATCGTTATTTTATCAAAATTTGACATTTTTTGTAACATCCCAAAATTTTTGATAAAAATTTATTTAATATCTATATTATATTATTTCAAAAGTTGAGGGACTAAGAGGTAATATATTTTAAATTCTTATACTTTGAGTCAAAATTAAATTTCGATAGAGTAAATATAAGTATATTAATATTATACTCGTTGGATAGCCAGTATTTAATTATGAATTTTAGGCTCAAGAAATAGTCGATTTGGATAACCCAGCACCAAGAAATTTCGTTTTGAAGAAATTGGTTTTCAAATTCAATTGAAACTTGAAAGGAAGATGTGATGTTGACACGTGTACATGAAATTGTCTTGATTTTGTATGGTGTGTACGTATAGAAATGGTTATGAATAAAAAGAAGTAGGTTTATTTTAATAATTATTTGCTTTGATTTTGGAGAAAAAGAAGGGTAGGTTTCCTTGATTTTAGGGATTGATTATTTTAGTATTATTTAATTACTTGACTTTATGAGTTGATAGACTCTACGTGATATTTAGATAATGGAAAAATAACTGTAGATTATACTGGATTGAGGCATTTTACGGGAAAAGTTGTCATGGAATAATGAAACAAGATTAAATAGAATTAAGAATTAATATAATTCCCTTTAATTAAATATTCTAAGCAGTGCTGACTAATTTGACTACCTTTTGTTTAAACATAATATTTATTAAAATAAGATAGAATTTTAATTATTTCGGAGCATTTATTTTGGAAGATAAACTATATTATAATAGATAAGTGATGGCAAATAAATTTTCTATTTGTAAATATAGTATTATAGATAGTCTCAAACTCATTTGAATTTAGATGATTTTTCAAAACAGCCATGTATGTGTACAAAGAATGAATATATTAAACAAAGTCAAAAGCTAGCTGCCGATTTCAGAATTTATGATAGAAGATATCTTTGATGTAATCATATTAGAGTTTGAAAAGTTGATGTCTCATTTAGCTATCATGTTTCTTCACGTTGGCATGCATTGGATAACAAACCAACTCTCTATTTTCTTTTTGATAACAACAAAAAGGCCTAGTACAAATCAAGTAAAAATCTTTTGGTTAGGATAAGACATATCTTCTACTCTAATCTACACCTATAAATAGTAAGCTAGAATCCCACATTTTACCACACCAAAAATTCACACGTGAAATAGAGAAAGAGAAAGATAAAAGAGAGAGAGAGAAATGAGAGAAAAAGGAAGACAGAAAGCAGCATTAGAAATAGAATTTCATACATCGAGTATTTTAATCACATACTTTCAAAGTGGAGGAACGATTTTCAACATACTGTAGATTCAACGAGGTAAGATACATTTATGTGCAAAGTGTTTACGTTTCCTTATGCTCTTATATGCGATTAAAAATGCATGGAATGCTAGTGGACCTTCGGGTTCTAGAGAAAGAGATATGAAATTTCTACATGAAAATTAAGAGGACCTAAGATGGGTGCGTCGCTTGGTCACCAATATACTCCATAAGAGAAGAGCGGTATGAAGTGTATAATTTATTTGTTATGTAATTGTATATGGAAATTTGCACGTATCTTACTGGGTATTTTTAAAATACTCACTCTTACATTAATTTTACAGATTAGTTCGAGTCGATTGGAACAGTGGAGAATTGGTGATGCGGACTGCCAAGTGGATAAAGAATAGAGAAAAAGAAATAAGTTTGCCATTTTAAATTTAGCAATTTGTTTATTTTAATTTAGAACGCATTATTTGAATTACTTAGGAGTTTATGTTTATGGTTAGATACGCTTTCAATAATTTTAATTTAAACGTTACAATTATTTGTTTATTGAAGAATTTTATATAGTTCCGCATTTTTAAATTAAAGAAAAATGAGTTTTCGTAACGTTCCGGTGTTTAATGTAAAATTGGGGCGTTACATTTTTGATGGTCTAATTGACATTTTGCATCACAAAAGGTACTTGGATGTAGACATTTGAAAGCTATGGGACCCATCGTCTAAATGTTCATAGGTTAATTAAGGAATGATTATTAGGGGTTTTATGGGGAAAAAATCTCTAATTTTTATTTAACTAGTCGAACTTTAATTTTAATTATATTATTTCATTAGATCCACAACTTTTATTAACTTTCAACCACGTATTACATAAATTTTATTATAACTAGTAAAATTTTTTATGAAAAGTTTTGTGAAACTGCCCTTTGTTAACTTTTTAAGAACTATTTAGGAGGCACAGTGGTTGGGATCAAAGAATGAGTGGATAATGATGAGTAATAATTTTTAATATATGTTGAAATTAAACTTTGACTTTGATATAATAGTACAAATATCTTTTAATTTCCTAAAAATCCCAAAAATGTTTTCAAACATTGGGCTTAATTATACAATAATTTTAGGTTCATATACATCTTTCTTGATAATACGTGTAACAATCAACAAATTAACAGTAAGAAATGAAATCATAAATTTACTAAAGCTATGAATTTTATTTTATTTTTCATTGCATTGCATGGGAAACAATTGCTACACCGAAGAGACAACCAAAATATTTATTTATTTCATTCCAAGTAATTAATCACATCTTTCACCGGTTAATTTAATGCATGTAGACGGCAAAGAAGGACAAGATGGAGGCCCCAACGAAGGACCCAAATGTGGGCAAGGCAGCGATGGCATTGCTGGTGGGAGTGGGAGCCGGAGCCTCGCTAGGGGCGGTGGCCATGGCGGCACTCATGGAGGCAGCCGCAATGAGGGCGGCGCATGCAATCTTCTTCATCTCCATGGTGGTGGCTGAGGAAGACGAGATCCGGTGAAAATCTAAAGGAAACGGAGAACAATCACAGGATCTTGCCTCTGTGTATGTGTTTTTCTTGGCGACCTTGTAAATTAAGGTGGTGGTCTAGGAAGGTATTTATAGGGGTGGTTTGGCTATTTTAAGAATAATTTTCAGTTGTGTCTATCACGTATTTTTTCTCTTGCTATATTTAGACAAAAAGAGTTTGTGGCGTATTCTAATTTTTAGAATGCCCGAGTAAAATATGGTATTACACAAATTATAGTTTCTATGTGTGTGGTGAAGATGGATGACTATAAAGCCTCACCTCTCCTTATCCCCAATATCCTAGGAATCCTTGGAGAAAGCCCTTAGAATTATGGGAATACGACCCCAAGCCTTCTCTATCAATTCCAAACTTTCACCCGACGACGATGGCCCGAGGTAGAGCATGCAATGGGCCAAGTCCAAATGCTTTCAAGATTCGTTTACGGTAGAGAGGGCTTTTAGCCCCATGTTTTAAGCAAGTAGTTTAAACGAGTCGAGAGAAAACAACTTTCCTCTCGATGTCTTTGAGTTAAAATTCTAGCTGAACAAAATAGAGAAAATTGATCTCAATTCTAGACACAAGTTTAATACTAATTTGTATGGAATATGACTAAGAAAATGGTTTTAAATTATTTATTTATTTATTTAAAAAAGTTAAGTATCTAATTTACCTTAACAAACTTATTATATAACCAATTAATTATTTTATGGGAGGCCGACTTTGGTTTTGTGCTGTTATGTGATGTCACCCCAACAAATATGACTTGTAGACACGTTCTATTTAAATCATATTGTTTTAGTTTTTATGTCTGATATTTAAAATCAAGAAATTGAAATATATGAGGACGATTTGACTCTTCCAAGTGTGAGGCCTAATGTGTAAGACATCATATAAGGGAAAAAATATAAGGGAAATTGTAAGAATGCAATGTAGCATATTTTCATTAGATTTTGCACAAAAAACATATTAATAACAACCAATCAAAATCTACCACATCAGCACCTGGTAATTTCCTTGATATTTTGATTTGTACAAACAGCTTTATTCAAAGTTTTATTAAAAATAAGAGAGTGGAAAAAAATGAAAAAGAAAGAAAAGAGAATATGAAATTAAGTGCTGGAGTTTTCAACCTATTTTTCAAGGCATTGGGATCTCAATTGCTTAATTTCAAAAACTATCTATTGCACAAGTTTTCTATTGAGTCTGCTGGGAATATGCTTTATTTAGCCCCTATTTGATGAGATTAAAATTAGATTTGTAATCAATTTTAAAAAAAGTTGATGAAATGTATGATTGAAAATTTATGAATCTCATAAAATATATGTTTAAAATTAATTGTTGACTTTGATTTAGATTGAAATCTAAATTTTAATCCCTAATAAATAGGGGCTTAATATTTGTTGAATTATTTCGATATCATTATGAATCTGATTATTTAAGAAATTTAGATAAGACTCTTGAGATATTTAGTTACTTCGTGATTAAGGTTAGGAGATGGATAGTTTTGCCTTGGGTTTGATTCTCATTATGAGTTACTTATAAGTTTCTTATAATAAAAAGAGTACTGGGTCCCACGTGGATGACGAGGGATCATTAATTCAGAATCTGTAGTTAATATTAGGCCTGAACAAAACTTTTGAACCGAACAGATCGAACCGAGCGATTCTTTTTAAATTAAATACCCCAACGAGTATCTGAATTGAGAATCGATGAGTTTGGTTCGATTTTCGGTTCTAGATCAAGAACCAAGAACTGAATCTCCCTATTTTTTTTAATTAATTTATTTTAAATAAGTCAAATTATTTTATTTTTTCTAAATAAATTTAATAACTAGTTAATTTAGTTCAAATCCAAAAATATGATTTTCCTATTTCTAATTTTCAGTTCAAAGCCAACTTAATCAATTTGACCTAAGGTTTATCCAAATCTATTACTTTACTGTAATGTCATATCTACCATTCTGGAGAAATTGAATTAATGCTGAACAATGCATCTCTTAATTATTTTGAGCTTATAATCTTCCTCTTCCTATTATTTTAACAATCAATTTTATGAAGAATTCAGCAAAGAGAGACGCAAAAGTTACATAAGATTGGACTACGTTATTTTGTAAGAGTTAATATTGAACATACCATTAGTTGAATTAATGTCACTATGTAAATATTTAAAAATTTAATTATAATACAGAACCTAGGAACTGAATGAAATCAAACCCGAATGGTTCCATAATTAAATTTGGACCCGATGATTTCACTTACTAAATACCCAAAAATTTCGGGTTCGGTTCGGTTCTACATGTCCAGCCCTAGTTAATATTAAAGTTTAATTTTAATTAAAAAATTTAAGTAAATTTTAATGAAATCTAACTTAAGCTTTATTTGACAAAATTTGCAAAACAAAGTTTGAGTCTCTAATACTCGAATTCCAACTTGCTTATCGAAAACGGACTTTTAGAGGCTTTCCTTGGAGACTAAGAAAATAAGGTTAACAGCCTTCTCATCTCCAAAGGAGACATCAAAACATCGAAATGTACCTAATTCTGGTGCAAAAGGCTTCAAAACATATTGGTGAAGGATATTTGTGTTATTTGTGTTATATATTTTTTAATACAATAAATTATTGATATTGTTGTTGTTGTTATTATGTGCATTTAAAATAAATTTTAATAATATAAAAAAAATAGTTAATGAATTTAATATTTTTATTAAGTTAACATAATTATTTATTTAGTAATTTATGTATTTGTAAAATAAATAAAGAAATATTTTTTCAAATAAATAAATTGTTAAGAATAAAAAAGTGAAGAAAATGATCAAACACTGATCATTTGGAGTAAATTTTGGTGTAATAGTTGAATATGGCTTTTAATTTTGTGTAAAATGGTACAAAATTTATCTCAAAATTTGGTACGGGATTGGAGATGACCTAATATGCTCATCTCGATGAAACGTGTCGCTGACAATTCAGTGGCGTAGCAGGGTGGCGTGTTCCCCAAAATACTAAGGGTCCGTTTAATTGCAAGAATATAATTTGGGTGGAAAGAAGACGAATTTTAGGGAATTGAGTTTCTTATAACTTATTTTTCTAGGAAATGTCAATTAAATGTGTTTGATTGGTATCATTTTTCACCTAAAAATTGTTGAAATTTTCTATGTTTTGGTGTTCTTTTAACTTTGTTTTTCACAAAAATTGTCAATTAAAATGATATAATTTGTTATAATTGTGGATAGAATTTGTTCCAAATGCAAGCAAAAGAAAAAAAGAAAAGCAAAGAAAAAAGCACCTGGAAAACCAACTTCCACCAAAATCAAAGGAAAAGCAGTTCCACCAAAACCTGGAAAAAGGGGTCACGTGGGGGGTTGGGTGGAAAACTAACTCTATGAAAAATTTTGTCCATCAAATATACCATTTGGATATTAAATTCCATTTTCCACGAAAAATGGAACCTATTAAACAGACCCTACATGTAAATATTTTTTGGGCCCCTCACGCTTCTACATAAACATATATAAACCCCCCTCAGGTATAAGAAAAGACAATTTTCTTGAACGATTTCTTATTTCTAATCTCCTTCTTTGAACATATTGTTAGATATTTCTATTATAAATATAAAATGTGAGAGAAATAATCAATTTAGGTGAAGTGCTCAAGTGGTGAAAAATGTGGCATTTGTGCGGGAGGTCGGGGGTTCGGGTCACTTCCCACGCAATAATTAAAAAGTCCTTTGATTGGGACATTGGGCTCTTGAGTTTCATTGATTGAAGTAAATTATTTGTTTTAGGAATTATTTGTTAGGTCAAACTAACCAGTTTAATATAATCGTTTTTTAACAACCCAATATAACAATCCACTACCCACAGT